TGGCACACCTTCACACGGCATCTCCATCACTCCGTCGCCAACGGATCACATGCGTGCCTACTCAGATGCTGACTGGGCTGGTTGCCCTGACACTCACCGGTCCACATCCGGATATTGCATCTTCCTTGGCGACAACCTTATCTCCTAGTCCTCTAAGCGCCAACTCACCATGTCCAGATCTAGCGCCGAGGCCGAATACAGAGCCGTAGCAAATGCCGTGGCCGAAGTCAGTTGGATCCAGAACCTTCTCCTCGAGCTTCAGCAGCCCCTCACACGATCCACACTCGTCTTCTGTGACAACATCAGCGCAGTCTACCTATCTGCAAATCCTGTCAAGCATCAGTGCACGAAACATATCGAGGTTGATATTCATTTTGTTCGTGACAAGGTAGCTCTTGGACAGGTTCGCGTCATTCATGTCCCTTCATCACTTCAGTACGCAGACATCTTCACGAAGGGCCTTCCGTCCATCATCTTCTCCGAGTTCCGGGATTGCTTGGGCGTTCGGCCTTCTCTACCAGCGCCGTCGGGAGCATGTTAAATATATTCTTACTATATTTAATATTGTAATTATTGAAAATTACCTAAAGTGTATAGATTACCATATATGTTTCCTACCCTAACTAGGAAACCCTCTTGTATATATACACATGTAATCTCCCCATTATGATTATTGGAAATTAATCATTCTTCAAATTGGAATTAGAAAATTAAATTCTATTCAAATCAATTACATAGAATTTTAATTTCCAATTCAATTCTAATTCCATCAAATTCGTGTACCAAATGGACCCTTAATGTATTCAACTAATGGCTTCTAATACAAACAAGTTCATCTTGACTTTGAAATTTATCGTGCATTCGTGCTTAATATTGCTCATGTCCAATGAATAAAAGGGCATCGCTCGTTATTCGGTTCTTCCCTATTCAACAATTGAGCTTCCAAATTAATTAGTCCATCCACATCATACGTATAACAGTACTCATCAAGATTGTCCATCAGAGATTTGTTTTGCAACAAAATTTTCTAACGGCAAAAAAAAAATTAAAACAAAAGAAAACTCATCACAATATGAAATTGTTTTTGAAATGGTATGAACACTTATTTATCACTATGTATGTTGTGAAAAATTTCAAATACAATGGAAAGAATATCATTTAAAACTTAAGCATCCAACTCATTAAAATCTTTCACAACAAAAAATTGGACGAGGAAGAGAAATCTGTACATTATCTAATTAAAAAATTGGAGTTTGCCACTGAAATGCGAATTAAGCAGAGGAAGAGGTGTGGACGAGGAGATCGACTAATGCAGTAGGTGAGTATGGATTTGTTAGGGATAAGATATTGTGTGGATGGGGGATAGAGGAGAAAAAAGTTAGAGTAAAAAAGATACTCACTCCGTCTTAAAATTAACTTCGCAATTTGACTTTTGTAGTCAAATTTTTTTAAACTTTAATCGTATAATACGAAAAATACATTGAATTTTCATATAAGTTTATTAGCAATAGATTCATTTCGAAACATAGTTTTGAAATATATAATTTTTATAAAATATATTTATATAAAAATTGAGATATTATTGGTCAAAGTATCGCATTGGAGATCGTGAAAAGTTAAATGAAAAGTTAATTTTAGAACGGAGGGAGTACTGCACATAGTTTACTTAGAGGGTATAATTGTCCACATACAAAAAATGGGGTGGCATTAGAAAAAATGTGCCTGGCTATAGCCCCACCCTTTTTTCAAATCATCCCAAATTCGTAAGCAAATAGTATGAGAAACAATACTAGATTGGATGAATTCATCAACACTATTTGATGGACAATAAATCTACCAAATGATCCGACTTTGAACGGCGGATTGAAAGACTTAATAAAAAACGAGAACTTGATAATTATGGAATTATACAATAGGTTTAGCTTGAGGGTTCTCGTTCGGATCTTCCCTATTTATACATGCCATCTACGTAATTATGATAGTTTACAATTTATGGAAGCTAATCCGAGATTCGGGCGATCCCCTTCATTTGGCTATTTTTCCGCATCCATCTGTGTTTCCTTCTCCAATTTCGACTTCCCCAGCTGTATTCATTCGGATCGATCCAGGCCCAAGCCTTTGGACCGACCAAGGACCGACGCACACACATACGGGTACCCAAGCGCCTCTTGGGCACGAGATTTTGGCCTCCCGTTGGGTATCAGCCAATCACAAGCCCCCCAACTCCTCATTCCTCAAGCGGGCCACGTCGAGGGAGATCCACGTGGGCACCCCCTCAATTGAACCAAGTCGTTCATTGGTATTCGTGTGACGGTTGGCACGATTTCCTTCAAATGCAATAATAACCTGCTCCCTCGCCTTCCCCTTTGCTCTGATAAAACCGACGTTGGATGCCTATTTCCATCCCTATCTTCATCAATTCGTTCTTTCGTTGCAACCCGACCCATTTACTTCATCTCTAGGTCAGTCCTTCACTCGCCATCATGTTCATTTTGGATTCAGATTCTCCTTCCTCGTCATCTAGTTCTCTCCAGGCCGATCAATCGGCCCCTTCCGGCCAGGATCAGAGCCGATCCGACCCGCCTCAGCCGTCATCTACGGTCGCAACCGGCCAAAAGCGATGCCGGCTGAGGAAGTTGTTCCCTTCTCCACCCCCTGTGTCACGGGGCTCTAGGGTCGAGTTGGAGGAGAGACATTATGGCCTTGTGCCATTGTTAGATCTATGACCAAGGGTTTGCCGACGCTACTGATATGGGCGACCCAGCAAGACTAAAACCGCTCTAGATGCTCCTCCGGGGTTCTTTACGGTCCACCTGGCCTCCTTGAAAAAGGGGTTGTAGTTTCCCTTACACCCTTTGTTGGTGGAGTTCCTCAACGAAGTGGATCTCTTGCCCTGCCAACTAGTCCTAAATTCCTACCGTTACATCATGGGCTAATTGATTAAATGTCAAGAGGCCAAGCTGACCCCAGCATGGACCATTTTTGTTCCCCTTCAAGCTCGCCAAGGGCCACAAGGACTCGGCCTCCTACGCCACTCTTTCCCAGCGGTCGAGCAAACTCTTTACCAGCGACAAGAAGGGCTCGACCAAGGATTGGAAACCCTTCTTTGTCTTTGTTTCCACGGGGCCCGAATCTCCTTTCACGGGTTCTGGGCACCCATCATTTCGTTGTGTCGCGCCTCCGCCGCCCAACACCGCACTTCTGTCCATCACAAGAAAGCTCTGCGAAGGGGGCGCCGTCGAGATTAGATCGGTGGTCACCGAGGAATCTCTCGCCAAGCTTGGGTTTGAGTTCATCGGGGACAAACATCGCCACCAGCCAAACTTGCTGAGGGATCTCCACGGAAGAAACAACGATTTCGGTCCCTTTAGTAAGTCCTCCCTCCCTTTGACTGAGTATTTCGACATTACCATTTGTATGCTAACCGCCTTGTATGTTTCAGTTAGGGATCAAAAGGTGAGATGGACGACCAACTGATGTTGCGCTATCTCCTTGGAGGGAAGAAGAGGAAGAGGGACGTAGCCCCCTAAGGCGAGGAGCGCCGTCCATCCTCGAGCCATGAGGATTGCTTCCAGCTCGACCAGGTGGTGATCGAGCGAGGATAAAGAAGAGCCGACCCCAGAGGTGGGGGCGATGGTGACTAGCTCCCCCGCGCACAACGAGTCCCGGGAGCGATCTGCCAGGGTCGTCCTAGGATGCCACTTTAGAGTGACCTCCCACCCACCTGCCTTGACCTACGAGGTGGCGACCGAGGGTGGCTCGACGAAATTTAGAATCCCCCACTATCCATCTCTGGGCTTGGAAGATTTTCCCGGTGGAGACCACGGTCATGCTTCCTTCCCACGATGGGGCCCGTATTTGCGCCAGCTCTCTAAGCGACCTAGCCAATATGATCCTCTTAAAATTCGGCCAGGTATCCGCCTCGGCCTTCTCTTCTTTTCATTTCTTTATTCTCTCATGCCTTGTCATACATTTTTTACCCTTCATGCCTTGGTACAGGCCTCGTTGGGGATGCTTGAGATCGCAGCCGGGAGCACCTTCATCGGTCTACTTAGGATGAGGTGAAAAAGGCGGTCGAGGCCGAGAAGAAGGAGCTGCGGGACGGGGTCGCTTGCCTCGCAAAGGAGCTATTGGAGGAGAAGAGCCGCAACTCTAACCTTGCGAGGGAGCTGCTGGAAGAAAAGAGTCGCAGCTCCAACCTCGAGAGGGAGCATCGCGGCCTGCAAGGTTGCTCTGCTCACCTTTAGGAGGAGAAAACCTCGTTGTCCTCTAAGGTAAAGTCCATCTCTGCCTGGGTGGTCGAGCTGGAGGAAGAGAAGGTTGACCTGATCCGCCAGCTAGAGGTCGAGAAGGGTAACCTGGCCCGTCGCTTGGAAGAGGCGGTCGAGACCTTCAAGACTTCTCTTGAGTTTACCACGACTGCTATGGAGCGGATGGATAAGCTGGTCCCTAAGTGGGTCGCGACCCATCCCAGGGTTGGTTGGGGAAGCGAAGAAATCCTTCCGCTGTGGACTCTTTCGGGCCCAGCAAGTCTTCCGCAGCAAGCTGGCCCTGCTCCCCAAAGGGACTTCTCTTCCTAACTTCGCCCTCCCTCCCCATTGCAACAACATTAACGAGTTTGATCCCACTCCCTACATGGAGGAGGATGATTATGATGATTCTGAAGGAGGGGATGAGATGACTGCCCCCTGCGACCAAGGCGAGCAGGGCAACCAGGAAGAGGGTATCACCTTTTCGGTGACGAAGGTGGGTGAGGGCACCAGTTCCAACGCATGATCGGCCTCCCCTTTCCCTTTCACTTGTATTTCTATTCCATGATTCCTTGTAAAAACTCTTAAGTACTTATACACTTTGTTTTCTCAATTCTTGATCGCTGTTGAGGCTTTAATCTGTTTCGAACTTCGTTTCTTTTTTTTTGTTTTGGTCCGCTTTAGGCTGGGAACAGGCCTAAACCTAGGCCCAACTTCCATTCTAGCCCATTTGTACGGCAAGCCCAATTCAATGATTAGTTGAACGTGTAACACCCTAATCCGTCCAGGTCTGCAGCCCCTTTCGGACTAAAGTATTAACTTGGTAATCGTAAAATTTAAAACATTTCAAATACTTTTATTTAGCATAAATATTAATATTTAATACATAACTGTAGCAAAATACGGAGTATTTAACAATAGTGCGGAAGCAATTTAAATCATGTTTAATAACAGTATTTAAAGTCACAAATTCCACCACGACAATCTCGCCCCTTCCCCTACCTACGTGTAGCAAATAAAACATACTACACGCTCAGCGATGAAGCTCAGTAAGCATATCTAAAACGTCGAACATCCACATAAATTGAATCTCAATTCATAAATAAGCATTTGATATCATGCACACAATATATAATTCATTCAACGTTTTTATTTCAATATCAATATTCAACATTCATATTCCATATTCAACAATATCCTTAAACCATATTTAGTCTAAGGTCAATCCTTTTAATATTTACCAACTCTTAAACTAATTCTAGTTCAAGTTACTTCTAACCAACTCTTAAACTATTTCTAGTTTAAGGTACTTCTAACCAACTCTTAAGCTAGGTCATTAGTTTAAGGTACATATTCCGATTGATTTACCAACTCTTAAACTAGCCTTCGCTTAAGGTACAAATCCAGAAACCAAACAGTAGAATACTAACTGTCGGGTTGGGTGGTATCCCCAAACGAGTTCCTCTAGTTTGGTTTATGGATCCCGTACGTACGTTTTTACCCAAGGCCACCGAATATATGTTTAATACCCGCAAGGCCCATTCTAATCAGAAGTCTATCTTAGAGGTCTTCTAAGTAGCCTTACAATACAATTCATTGATTCATTCTTNCATAATCGTCATTCAGAATATTCCTCATTATTAATTCATCACAATCCATGATCAAACAATCATCATAATATTTAATAACAAATAGTGGCCTAGCATCAAATGTTAACACCCGAACTTACCGTCATGCATCACATAATGTTTTACATGTCAAAACATCATTTTTATTGTACAAAATCATATTTATTTATTAATTTTTAATTGGTATCAATGATAGGATTTCATAGTTCAAAAATCATGTTTTCTAAACAATAATTGATTAACACATGATAAGAAATTCAATTATTAATTACTAGCTTCATTTTCTTCAATAGTGTAGGGAGACAGTCTACTGTCACTTCTGATAATCTACTGTCTGATGTTCAGAATGAGCTGATAATCGATTATCACACTCTGTTAATCGATTATCAAACTTCTGAGAGGGCTGATAATCGATTATCACATTCTGACAGTCGATTATTGCTCAGCTTTGTTCCAAAAATCTGCAGAATGATGAATAATCGATTTTCAAGTGGATAATCGATTATCCATCGTCTTCTACCTCGAGCCAATTTGCGGAAATGTCATTTTACTTATCAAAACTTCAATTAAAGTATATAAAAAGGTTCTCCAAGGTTCATAGATCATTTTGGTACCATTAATTTGAAGTTTTAACAACAATTTCAAGGTTTATGATTCTTGGTTCTTCAAACATGTCAAACACATAACTCAACCAAATGACCATTTATGAATGTAGAAACGACCTATATGAACATTCTAGTTATTAGATATATCTACGGGCTTACCTCAAAGTAAAATGAAGGTTTTGTAGGTTTTCCAGCGAAACTTCCGGCGACCAAAGCTCTCAACTCCAGCGACCTCTCTCTGAAATGGAAGCACCAGCAGGTTCTCCTCACCAGGGCAGCAGTTTAGGAAGAGATTTGGGATGATTTGGTAGAGAATTGAGAGAATTAGGATTTCTTAAATAGAGGAAGGAAGGAGAAGAAGACATGGATGAAATATTCTTGAGTCACCTAAATCGGCTAGTGCGTCGATTAAACAGTAAGCGCCGATTGGAGTGTAGTCCCTGATTGGGACTAATTTTGGTTCCAGTTGGGGTACACTTTTTGGTCCAATTTTCTCCAAATTGAAATCTGATTGAACCGTTGGGGTCAGACAGTCAAACTCTACACAACGATATAATTTTTATTAATTATTGACAAACTTTAGAATTTACTTATTTTTTTTGGGTCCTTCTCAGTAATTAATTAATTATCAATTAATTAATTCTAATAGGCCTATTTTCAGGGCGTTACAGAACGTGCCACCAAGCTGGCCAATCACATCACTCAGGGTGGTTGATTGGGCCGTCTCGTTGCTCGATGTTGCTTTATCGGTTCAGTTGCCTTGGGACTTGACCGTCCTTTCAATCTCTCCGCCTTAAACTCTTTATCAACCACCTTGCTCCATTCATTCCTTTTTAACACAAGTCCTTTTCTTGTACTTCGTAACTATTCTTTGCCTTGTCTGGAGAAGCTCCTACTTCCCTGAATCTTTCCGACGGTCCTATTCCTTCTTCGCCGGAGCCTGCCTCCTCCCCTAAGTTCGTTAACTCCAACGACTAGGGGGCTAGACCCATATGAATTCTGCCCCCATCTCCCTCGCCGTCGATGGCCTACGATGAAGCAACCCCCAATCCTGCCGAATCCTTACGATGACTTCAGCACAGAAACCAAGGTGCTTTTGGCCAACCGCCTCCCTTCCAGGGAGGTAGATTGGGATACTCGCCCTATCCATGAGAGGAATTATGCGGCTTGGAAAAGCGTGCAAGATGAGAATCTGCCCCTTTTGGAGCACGAAGTAGAATACTATTTGGGTCTGGAGCAGTGGAATAGTGAGATTCGCACTAACTCGCCGAAGCTTGGTCAAGATGATGTTGCTGGGGAAGAACTGGGTTCCTCCCAGTGACTGTGGGCTAGCCCTTCGCCTCCTCGGGAGACCCCTAAGTGACCTGGAGTAGCTCTTCCTACTCCAGGGTCTCCGTCCTCGTAGGGGGATGGTGCTCATTAGGACTCACAGTACGAGCGACACCTTTTTTCTACATGGGAGAAGGAAGGTGGGTTTTTGTCACTGGTGGTGGATACCCATCCCTTCTCCATGTTGGAGAATAAAGTTGGGTCTTTGTCACTGGTGGTGGTGGTTGGGGCTCCGCGCAACCGTTGGCCACAAAACTACCTTTCACCTTGTCTTTTCCTTGTGTTTTTCTTTTTTCTCAATAGTGATGGTCGCATGTGTATGCCTAGGTGTAATGAATTTTCCTCACGAATGTAAGTAGATGCCTCAATGTAATGAATATGCTCGCAAATGTATGAAGTTGCTTTTGATGTGTAATGGATGATTTCATAAGTGTGTTTTGGCGTTACTTGTCTAATCAAATTTTGACAAGTCCTACCGTATTTCATGGACATAGTTTGGTCTCGTTCGAGCGTCGTCCTTAATAATTAGGTCGCCTCATCCTTTAGTTGAAGGAACTATATACTTCTTTGACTTAGGGGCTGTTTGTTTCAGCCTCTTAATGATTCAGATGTCTGAATGGTTCAGCACTTAATGGTTCAGACTCTTTGTTTCAGCCTCTTAATGGTTCAGATGTCTGAATGGTTAAGAGATTTGCCTCTAAATGGTTAAGTATTATACAGAGTCTGAATGGTTAAGACCTTTTATCTGAATTGATCAGACATTTGCCTCTGAATAGTTAAGCAATATACTAGCTCTTAATGATTCAGACCTCTTACTGGTTTAGCACTTAATGGTTCAGACCTCTTACTGGTTCAGCACTAACCTATTCAGAAGTTGTCAAACAGCCCCTTAGCCTTTTTGGTGGCTCTTTCGCCCTGGCGTCGTCTTGTTTTGTCTTGATCGCGCTAACTAGCAATCGCTCAGGCGACCAACGGGTTCAGTACTTCGTTCCCTTAAGGGTGGCTTAGTACGAATCACCGTATGGACTCATGTAGCGATTCTTCTTGGTCACTCCTTTTTTTATTATGGAAGGGAAACAAAATCCATAAGTTGCAAAACACTGACTTTATTGAATTCAAGGGCGCAACATAAGAAGGTTACAACTTATTGGTAAAGTCTAATGAGATTAGCACTATTCTGCACCTGCGGGACTACGTCTCCTCCAGTTGGAGTCTGCAACCTGTATGTTCCGTCGACCAACACTTTCTTTATAATATATGAACCTTCAAAATTCTTTGCAAACTTTCCACCATCGGTCGGTCGACTGACCTCTCTTTTTCTTAAAACCCAATCGCCCTTTCTAAATATCCTTGGTCGCACCCTCTGGTCGTGATACGACTTGACTTGACGACGATAATTTTCGGCCTGAATATAAGCTCTTTCTCTTCGCCCATCTATCAAGTGCAATTCGGCCGTCAAGTTTCCCTCATTCTCTTCCGCATCGAATGTCTCCACCCTATAACTTAACAATGAGGTTTCAGCCGGAGCCCTTGCTTCAAATCCATATGTTAAGGCAAACGGTGTCTCTCGAGTGGCCTTCCTCGGGGTGGTTCTATAGGTCCACAAAAAGTAGGATAACTCTCGTACCCAGGCGCTCTTGCACTCCATTATCTTCTTCTTCAAGCTGTCAATGATGGTGTGATTGGTATTCTCGACCTGACCGTTGACCGCAACATAACTGTGCTTTATTCCCCAACTTTGCTAGAATTTGTTGAACGCCTTAGCTTCAAACTGGGTTCCATTGTTGGTGATGATTTGTTGGGGAGCCCAAAGCGGTACAAGATCTACTTTGACACAAACTTCCTCATCTGTTCTTTGGTGATGGTTGGTACTGGGGCGGCCTCAACCCATTTGGTAAAGTAGTCAATTGCGACTACCAAATACATATTGTTCCCCGCTCCTCTAGGCAAAATACCGACCAAATCGATTCTCCAACGAGAAAATGGTATTGTTGTATCTCGTGTATCTAAACATAGCTTTAGTCCATAGACTTAGCGCTCTTGTAGCATAGATTGGAACTACGATGTTCTCATTATGAGGCTTTTACATTTATAGAGGTTATGTCTAAAATGTCCTTAGTCGAATATTATGATAATACGAACCTCATAATATATTAAGACTAATACATATGAGACAAGATAGCTGCGTCTCATAGGCTATGGATATTGTGAAATCTTAATCTATACGTATGTACATATCTAGAGATATGGTACTGGATTGGCCCACCATAGGAATACTACATGGGTAATATTTTAATGTGTTAGTAGTATTCTCATTCGACCATTGGTATAACTATCCTTAGACTTGAAGTCATTACGATCTTTGATATGCTAACCTATATACTTAGACTTGAAGTCATCACGTATGTACCCGCGGTTAAAGGGTGCCCGTTTGGTTCCCGCGGTTTGGGGCCACGTGTTGTACCGACGTTGAACGATGCCTTTGCGAGATGACGGGCGTAGTTTCGCAGAGTTTCTTTCGCCCCCGTCGACTCCTGCGGCTCCTGGGGTACGTCGGCGCTTGCGTCTGGGTTTTTAGTGCCCGTAGTTGCCAGCGGTATTTGGCATCCTAGCCCGGGCAGAGGTGGCTGTCCGGTAAAGGCTTTTTCCATCTTGCACTTCATCTGAGTGCCTTAACGACCGCGATTGCGGTCAAAAGGCGCACGTATGCGTCCGCGGTAAAGGATGCCCGTCAGTGCTTGCGGATTGTGGATTTGAGCACCCGTGGCGCACACGGAAAGTGCGTATGCGTGGTACCGTCATCAAATCGGTGCCCTCGTTGGGAGGATGGGTGGGGCCCGACGAGGTTTCTTCCGCCTGCGTCAGTGCTTGCGCGTGAGGTTAGAGCACCCACTATCTGTCGGCGGTAATGGGCTAAGGGTTGGCCACTGACCCATAGTGGTACCTCTTCCTTCCTTCTCCATTTCTTCACTTTTCATTTTCATCATTGTGGATTTGGACTTTCTTGAGACTGCTTCACTGGTTATTTTCTTGGATTTTGGACTTTATTGGATTTCTACACGACTGGACTACTTGGATTTGGTTGGGTTGAGACTTCTAGTTGGGCCGTGGCATTGTCGTTGGGCTTCGGGCTTCACGGATGGGCTGCTCACCTTGGCGAATTGAACCGATCACTTGGGCTGGTCGCTGATGGTTGGACGGCCTGGTGCTGGGCTTAGGCTGATTGGATGATTGGGTTGTTTGGGCCTAATGATTGGGCTAATTTTATTGCTCTCTCATGGTTTGGGCCTCCTCAAGTCGGGCTTCAGATGCGGATTTGGGCTAGCACACATGCCTTTCTTCATGGTTTGGGCTTTTCCAGTTTTGGGCTCTACTTGGCTCACTTGGATTATTTTTGCACATATTATTTTATTCATTCTTTAGTTGGGCTTTTTGGATTTTTGACTGGACTTATGTCGATTGCATTTCTTGGCTTAGAACATTTTTTCTTGATCGGATTATCTGACCTTAGGCCTTACCCTTGCGGGGGTTGAGGCTCCGGGAATGATTTTATTCCTTGATCTAAGTGGAATGTTTTGAGCCGGCTTTGTAATTGTACTTAAGTCTATGTTCCAATATTCGAAAAGCGCTTCACATTATAGTTTTTTGGTTGTTGCTTACTTTTTATACAAGTGAGGAGTCTGTTCCCGCTTGTTCAGACGTTTGTATTCTTTGATTATTTAATAAAATGCATTTAATTAAAAAAAATAAAAAAAAACAAAAAATAAAAAAAAAACCTATATACTTTGATTCATATCAAATGCCATTAGAAATACTGGTGGACGTACAGTTATGTTTTGGGTATGTAGTTAAGCATATGCAAAGACGTGAATGATGTAGAAAGAATTTATCCCTTCCATTGTGCTGAAGTGTAATGTGATGTGACTTAGGAAGTGAATGACCATGCCCAAATAATTAATATATATGATATTGATGTGATCTGAATCTCACAAGTCCATCAGAGTAAACATTTTGTTTTGGGTAACCATTATTCAGGTTTTCTTTTACATTTAATTGCCTTCATTCAACTAATCAACGCTTGGTTCAATTCAATTCGAATGGTTGTATTTTAGATTCAATACTGTCTAATTTATATTAGATCGGAACTTCATGCTCAGCTCGGACGCTTTCCACTTTTAGTTTCCAAGATTTTCAATTTTAGAAACTGATTTACATTTTTTAAATGAATGTATGTAAATGAAGCTCTAAGGGAAGTTTTTTTTTTCAATTTTTTGTTAATATCAAAATAGATTTTTGAATTCAGATTTGACTTACTACTGGAGTATATTATTTTTTTTTTGTTTATAAACGGATGTGACTGGTTATGCTCAATGTATTTTCTTCAATCTTTCCTTAATAGCCTAATTGCCTAAAACCCATTTTGTCATGAAACTGATCCAAGTCTGGTATATTTAAATTACTCCTTCCGTCCAAGAATAAACTTCCTACTCTACCTTTTTTTTCGTCCGAAAAAAATCTTCCTACTCTACTTTTTCATACCCACTCTTCCAAAATTACCCTTCATTCTCCTTCCCATCTCCCCTCTCTTTTCTCCTCTCCGCACCGTCCGCAACCCCCCTTCTCTATCTTTTCTTCTTTCCTACTTCTCTATCTCTCTCTTCCCCCCTCTCATTCTTTTTCTTTTCTCAAGATTTCCTTTCTTCTCCATAGCCAAATCTGGCTTATCTTCATCACACACTCTCTCCCCCCCCTCTCTCTCTCTCTTCCCCCTTCTTTTTCTGGTTTCTTCTCTTTCCTTTCTCGGCCAGATCTGGCAATTCAATATGCTATCTTCCCGCTCCACCTACTTCTTCTTCTCTTTCTTCTTCTTCTTCTTCTTCTTCTTCTTCTCCTTCTCCTTCTCCTTCTCCTTCTCCTTCTCCTTCTCCTTCCTTCTCCTTCTCCTTCTCCTTCTCCTTCTTATAGATTTGTGTTAGATCTGTGGCTGTGGGGGCAGGTGGGCGGTGCGGTGGTGGACGGGTGGTGAGACTGAGGCAGAGATAGGCCGGTGATGACATTGGTGCAGCGGTGGGGCAGCGGTGGTCAGGGGTAGCAGTGGGGCGGATCTCTGCTTGGAGATTTGTGATGGTGATACAGATATTGTTCCGTATCGGCAGGGCAGGGCTGGTAAAAGGAGAGGGAGAGGGAGGGCATTTCGGACAAATTACACCCATATTCAACACCCACTAAAAATGAAGAAAAGTCAAAGTAAGAAGTTTATTCCCGGACGGAGGGAGTAATAAATATGATGTGCACTCTCACCCTAATAGGGTGTAGCAGGATGTTCTATGTGTTCTATGGTTTATGCAATTGAGAATGTTCTATATACCCTTGGGCTTATCATTGAACACCACATGTACTGCACTCCCCTTGCCTTATGCATTCACGTTGAGCTCACACACATTTTTAAGTTTTTTGGTTATAAAGGTGTTGAGTCTTCTCAAAATGTTTTCTTAACCTTTTCTATCTCAGTTGACATTCATTCCATGCTTACTTGATAAGCAATTTGGAACAAAATATGTGTCTATCATGTGATTGAGGGAGAGGCCAGGGAGGGGCGTGAAGGATATACATTGATCAGGCACGTATAGTTTTGCATCTAAAACTTCTTTCATTTACTAGTATTTAGAAAAAAGGAGATATAAGGGTGATTAACTCTAGCAAAGACTAAAAGAGAGTCACACACCGCAACAGAGTTTCACAGTTATATGGATCTACAGTGCTGCATCCCAACTGAAAAAACAGCCAAAAGCCATGCTAAAAGCCAAAAACCAAACATGCCCAACAAAAAATCCTAGGTCGTTGGTGGCCATCAACAGACAATTCAATAGCAATACCAGAAACCTGCTACGATTTACCAGCAGTGAACAAGTGCTCTAATTAACGTCTTTGAGATAGCATACATATAATAGAGTTCACACTGCCAAAACGTCTGTTGAGCATCAATGCAAACCTTTACCTCATATCTATGTACTGCAATGACTACTGCTTTTATACAGATGGAAGAACTTGTTTTTGATACTTTTCAAGACTTTGTAAACGATCCATCCATTCTCTGTCTTCATTTGTTGGCTCTTCTTGATCTACTGAGTGCACCGAGATAGGATTGTAGAGGCCAGCATTCAAAACATCATCATACAATATTGGCTCCCATCCATGAGGGCCAACATAATAAACTAGAATCACATGAAAGCCATAATATAGGTCAGCAAAGCTGAACACATTTGTCACTAGTTCAAATGCAAAAGCTGAGGAATTCATATTTATACTAGAAAGAATAAGGTGGCTTGTACCATACTGAATCCATGTGCACACTGCCGTTGGAATGGTGTAGTTCAACGAAAAGAAGAAGACAAGAAAGCGGCTTATAAGGAGCTCGTGGAATGTCGGGTTGGGAGATTATGAGGTATTTACAAGCGGGGTATAAAAATTGCCCATAAGAGGGCTAAATTGATTGTTTTGGCATCTAAGTATGCAGCTTTTTGACAACCTCTATAAGGACTGTCAAAAGAGAGGAGAGAAGATTTTTGCTAGCTAAGGTGCACGAGGGAAAGGCACGAGATCTAGAACATGTGAGAGCATGTGAGGTGCATTAAATATGCAAAGATGGCAATGTTTAGTTTGATGAGGTGGCAGTCACACCTTCATAATGGAAAAAGCATCTGACCCATATGTTTAAAACATAGAGATTTGGCCCCGTCGGAGATGATGGAAAAAACAAAAATAGAGGTTATGCATATCAATCCTAATATTTATCTGGAGTGAACAATTTCAGACCTGGTGTTAGGTCCAATGTTAATGTAATATTATCAGAAAATGTCATAGCTGACTCTTGTAAAAGTTATGTTTGACATGGCATAGAAAAGTTTCGGAATTCACGTATCAAAACCAGATGAGGAAAATGATGAAATACCCTCAGCAACTCCGTCTAAAATCCCATCTTGAAATGCGGCTCGCCGAATTGCCCATCTGCCAAATGATACTGCTTCATAGTGGTGGATTTCCTAGTGAAGCAAGGATAACGTCAATACAACTTATGGATCAATGTATATCAGCTCTGCAAGAAAAGGTTAACCAACTCGTCTATCATTGAAAGTAATCCAAGCCCTGCCTTAGATCTTAAAAAAAAAATTACAGTTCACGGGTCCGTATTCATGGTCAACAAAGAAAAGATCTGGACACTGAAAAAGATGATGTGATTGCTTAATCAGAACATATATTTATTAAGAAAAACTAATATATTAGTATATGTAACTTACATGTAGCTCCCATCCAGCAAGTACGGCACCAGGAAACTTCGGACCATAGATTTGTTTCATCATGTCTTGAAAGAGGAGTGCAGCTAGGTTCACTGGCATTCTTTCTTTATGTTTTCTCTTATATAGGCAGCACTACAACAAAGATAACCTTGTGAATGATAATTTTGAGGGGGAAAATGGCTAGCGTGATGTAGGACTGCATATTTTACCTACCTGTTTCCAGAAGAGTTTGTCTACAGATCACCAACCCTTGTGTAAAGCATATACAGACCAATTTCCACAAAGTTTGATGCTTAGAATACAGGTAGTGGTAAAAAAATGTCTGCCCTTAAAATGTTCAACGTTTCATTTGTTATCTATCCCAATATAAGGTTTTACTTTCCTTTAAAACAAGAAAATTTCAATGCGAGAACTTATTTTGCAATGGAGGGAATAATAAATAATTTTCAACAATATAATGAAGCTCTTAATGGGCTCAGACTTTCTTCTTAATGTTGCTGGCCAGGTCAAAATTGGAGAATTAACCATGTCGGATGGTTTCGGGCCCTCTCCAAGACCCAAATGCACCCTTCTTCCAGGGCCCCATCTTCCAGATGATTAATTCTTTTATAGCCCTTTTATATACTCCCTCCGTCCATAAAAGAACTTCCCGATTTCACCGGGCACGCATATTTAGGAGACATGAAAATAACATTGAATTTACTAAAATGCCCCTTTCATCTTACGGAACCTTTTCTTCTTCCGTGTTCTTCCTTCAAGACACAAGTCCAAGATTTATTCCAAAATAAACATTCAACAAACACCAAGATCCCAAATATCAAAAGTCACACCAGTTTAAAAAATCCTCAAAGAGCAAATCCAGATCCAAAATTCATCCATGGTAGAGAAAAGCTCTCAAATCTATTTCAAAATCTAAAATCCAAGATCCCAAAATTAAAAATCTAAAATTGAAGATCTAAAACCTTGTGGATAACCCAAGCGACTACAGTAGCTACGATATGACGACGAAGCTACTGTGTTCAGATCTATAATTTTGACGGTGGAAGAGCTACTTCAGCGATCTGTGGAAGAGCTACTTCAGCGATGAACCCATAAACGATCGGTGGAAGAGCTACTTCAGCGATCTGTTTAATGGGAAGCATTTGAATCTCTCATGATTTGATCGGCTACACACGAGGGAGGAGGACCAAAACTTCAATTATTATCAAAGAATTCAAGAAACTGAACTTAAGGAAGCCCTAAAACAAATGAAGAATAGCAAAGCAGTGGCCTAGACAACATTCTGATTGATGTTTGGAAAGGTTTAGGAGGAAAAGGCATTTGGAGGCTAACTAAGCTTTTTAACGATACTTTAAGATCTAAGAAGATGCCTAACAAATGGAGGAAGAGCATTTTGGTTCCTATTTACAAGAATAAGCAAGATATTCAAAGCTGTGTAAGCTACAGAGGGATAAAACTTATGAGTCATATGATGAAGTTATGGGAAAGAGTGGTTAAACAGAGGTTGAGACAAGGGACTTCAATTTTAGAGAACCAATTTGGCTTTATGCCAGGAAGATCGACTACAGAGGCTATATACTTGATGAGAAAAATGATGGAGAGGTACCGAAGTGAAAAGAAAGATCTCCACATGGTTTTTATTGATTTGGAAAAGGTATATGACAGGGTACCAAGAGAAGTTTTATGGAAGGTGCTAGAGAAAAAAGGAGTAAGGATTGCTTATATTCGTGCGATTAAGGACATGTACGACGAGGCTACAACAAGCGTGAGAAGTCAAACTAGGATAACAGGAGAATTCCCCATCAGGGTAGGATTACACAAAGGGTCATCGTAAAGCCCAAATCTTTTTACACTAGTATTGGACATTCGTGCCATGGTGCAAGCTTTTTGTCAATACATCATCCTTATGAGCGAATCACAACAGGATTTGAATGAGAAGTTGGATTCGTGGAGACAGGCTTTGGAGTTGCATGGTGTGCGTGTAAGTCACACTAAAACAGAGTATATGGAGTGCAAGTTTGGCAACAGAAGGAGAGACAGTAATATTGAGGTGAAAGTTAAAGAAAATACTATAACCCAAGTAATGAAATCTAAATATCTTAGGTGTATCATTCAAGACAATGGAGAAAGAGAAGATGATGTTAATTACACGATTTAAGCGGGAGGGCACGAATTAGAACACATGAGTTTGGGGGCTGCATCTCCCATTTTCTCTTACGACAATATAAAATACTACTCCCTCCGTCCTAAAATGTTTTGCACTTTGCGCAAAATGAATTGAAATTTCAAGTTTTTTCAATGCATCTTATCTAAAGATGGGTATGAAAATAAAAAATAAAACTTGCATATTAAAAAACTACGTCAAAAGTTTTATAAAACAAGAGATGAAAAATGTTTAAGTGTATCAAATAATCAATGAAAAAACACAAATAAACAAATATTACCGTGAATTTGGAATAGTCCACAGTACAATTCTTTTTTTAGACGAATGGAGCAAAAGAAAACGAATTCCAACTCAAACAAGTATTCAAATAGTTCCTTCAAAAAAAGTTTTCAAATAATTAAAAATTTTCAAAATATATGGTCCGTAGTATTAGATTCATTTTTATTCTTATATTTATAATTGTTTCAAAGCTTCATTCTTACATACCAGTACAGAAAAAGGGAATAGCTGATGAACCAAAATTGGATTTTCTATTTTTAACGCGAGAGCTAAACGGCATAGTTTAGGTTTTAATTAAAAATCAAACTAAAAACGACATCGCTTAATTTATTTAAAAACAAACCCGAAGTGCCTTATTTAGAAAGAAAAAGATCGGAGGTCAAGCTTGACCCGTTGAGCACCGCACATGGGGGGCACAACATTTCCGGGCAGAGCAACCCATCGCCGACACTAGTATACTATAGCTCTTCGCCGGCAGTTCACCAGGGGGCACGTGCCCGGGCATGCCCCCCCCCCCCCCTCCACCGCCCCTGGATCACCTAAAGTGAACTAAACTATATGGGTTATCCAATCACTCAGTTCAGTTCAAGTCCGCCTAACAATAGTAAGTGGCCTATACAAAGTATTAATTCAGTATTCACTGTTTATCACCTCACCGATAAGATTAATTTAATCCAAGTCACAATTCATGAGAAACAAATATATCAACTAGCGGCCTATTAAAGGCCGAAAGCCCAACTGTTATGCATAATCAAACAAAACCCAATTAATTTGGATTACCTGCCAAGAGTCATAAGTCAATTTGGAACCCAAAACCCAAACCTGAACCCGCTGTCTCGCCTGACCAGCCTGGCAGAACCCTTACTGCCGCCACTGCTAGACAGCAGTTCCCAACCAGCCACTAACCCCGCTGTTGAGCCGGCTTTTTCTCTCCTCAGAAGACCGGCTACCTGGACCAACCCCAGCCACTCGCTTGAGAACCCACCCGAAGAGGGCAGAAACTCGCTGGAATCAACCCAACAAGAGTTCAAGCAATACATGAACCAATCAACCAGTTTCACAATCAATGTGCAAGAATATAAGTTAAGGAACTGCTCATCTACGAATCAACTTTAACGATAGGTATAGAAACCACTGCTCACCTCGATTAGTCAAAGAAATCGAAATCAAATCAAGAAAAATCACGCCCCCCTCTGTTGTTCCGCTGGTGACTGACGCGCGCCCGAGGAGGGAAAGTCGAACGCAGATGGTGGATGGCGATAAAGAAGGTGGCGGTGAGGAACGGTGATGGCGGGGAAGAATGGAAGAAGAAGAAGAAGACGCGGCTCCTCTGCTAGGGTTGGTCGACCAAAAAGACTCGAAAAGAAGATCGGAAAAGTGGCGTGGGGTCGGATAATGTTATTTGTACCCAAAAAATTCAAGAGCAATGTTAGGGGTACACCAAAGATGTACCCGATTTGTTCTACACCCCTTTCTCCACTACTCAATTTTATTTTATTTTTATTTATTTAATTTTTTTTAATCTCTTGCCTTTTTTTGTGGTTATGGAAGGAGTGAGGGACAAATGGGGTACACCAAAAAGCATTTTTCAAGATTTAATCCAAAAAGCAATGCTAGGGATGCATCAAAGGTGTACCCCAAATGTACACCACATTCCCTTCTCCATCACTCATTTTTATTTGATTTTTATTTATTTTATTTTTTTTTTTTTGAATTTCTTACCAATTTATGTGAACAAGGAGGGGTGGGGGACATATGGGGTACACCAAAGGTATACCCATAGCATTTTCCTAATCCAAAACCTACCTATGACCCAAAAAAAATATTTATTTATAATTTAAATAAGTAATTGTTTTTTTAATTAAAAAAATAATAAAAAAGAGTTTTATGCGAGAAGATCCACAAAAAGGTGCACCAAAAAAACACTCATATAATAGACTTTCACCCCTCCTTAACACTAATCTTTTAACTTTTTGGAAGCTTTTAGTTATTTGTATTTTTCATGATTTATATTAAAAAATTAATGGTTAAAGAACAATATAGGAGTAAAACATTAATAAAATCTCAAAATAGGAGGTGGAAGATAAAATTCTCAAAATAGGAGTTCTTGACTCACCCAATCTAGAAAAAAGGCAATAATCCATATATACAACGAAAGAATATTTCAATTTCTCACCTCTCCAAATTTCTTCAGCCTAGGATTCTTTGGTTTCGAGCAACGTCCATTTTTTTTGTTGATCTTGTTGTCTTTTTCGTTGCCTAGAACCTTAGGACTTGAATCCCTCTCCAGATGCATTTGAACCATTCAAATTTACCTCTTTTTCCATTTTTTAATTATCAACCACTGCACTGAATATATATTCTTTATATAATTCAAGTTCCAGAAGTGCATGAAACAGGTGATGAAGTCCATATCACTGCCAGAGCTGTACACAAATGCATTTGACATCAACTCTTTGATATTAGTCCCTAGAGTAGAATGGTGAGTGCTGCTGGTTTGAAACTGCGACCAGTGCTGAACGCCGACGCTCATTGGTGACAGAAACCTTATTAGCTGGTGCATGAAAGGAACTCACCGCCATTCAAAAGCAGATCCCAACCCGAAGTCGAGCTACCTCTGCTCTTCTTCTCCTTGATGTCGCAACCACCATAACCTATAGTAGTACTCGCTGTGCAAGAAGCCGGCCACCGTCGCCAAGTAGTCAACGCTCAAGAGGAGTGTCGCTGCCACTTTCACCACCGCCCCTCCTTCCATTGTCGCCGCCGCCGCTACTAATGCACCTATATTGCAATAATGGAGTGCACATTCCAGATGAGCCCCACAAATTTCACCTCACATTCCAAACATAAAAATTTCAGGTTTGCAATACAATCAATACTAAAAAGGAGTTTGGAAGATATCTTGTTCAGAACCTCAAGAAAATGAAAACCCTTCACATAAAATTAAAGTAATACCCATATTTTTAGATTGCAAAAAAGGCACTCTTTAATTCTCTGAACCAACATTATCATCTCTAGTCTCTAGATCATAAATTAAAAGAAATTCTCCCACCATCGTCCATATAGTGTGAAGGACATATTGCCCTACGTACCATACATGAAATTACATGTGTGAATGCATAATATGAAACAAAGGCACAATGCCAAACATGTCAATGCCTAATGTAATAAATGACAATGTATAATGACAAACATATCAACCTATAATGACAAATATGTCAACATATAATGTAACAAATGACAATAAATAATGTTAAGAAGGAGAAATGCCAAGAAACTCTATAATTTTCCAATGTCATATTCATTCAATTCAAACTTCAATATAGTAATTCATATTATAGATCAAGAGTGCCAATTAAATTTTTATTCCAAGTACCTCAATCACACAAATAAACAATAAGATTTTCTTTCTGCGTGTAAAGAAAAACTAGAAAAGAATGATAATCTCAAAAGTCTGTTTGGATTCTTTGATTTTCTAAAAGTAAAAATTGTTGAGTATAAGACTAAAACATATTAGTTTTCCCTATATAGGACTAATGATGTTTTTTTCCCCTTCTAAGACTATTTTTTAAAGAAATCCCTTTCCTACCCCTAACTTATACGTCTACTTGTGTGGATAAAACCAACGCCACTTTGCTATTTTTTATTTATAAATATTTTACTTACTTAATTATGTTAGCCATTATTTACGCCTATAGTTTAGGAAATAAATTTATTACTCTGCGTCTCTATTTATCACCACTCATCACATATTTAATGCTATCATTTTTTTCATCTGTCTTCTACATTTTTTTGTTCTTACTTCTCAACAGATTCATATTTACTTTATGAACCTTAACATATAAAATAAATATATATTGATGATTGTAAAAAAATCCAAAATGAATTCATAAAAATATATAAAAATGTTTATATGTCATATTTGGACATTGGGACTAGAATAATAGAACTCTTTCTTCATTCTTACAATCAGTTTATAATAAAAATATATATTCACTTTCTTTACTAATTTTTATTACACATTTGTAAAACAATATAATAATGTCACTTCTTGTTTGTAAAACATGTTTTGCCTAATTTTTGTAGAATGTTTGATATTATTTTTAAGTATATAATTTTTATTTTTAAAATCTACACGAAATTTTAGAAAAAATTGAACTGAAAGTAATTTTAGTCAAACACTATAATACGTAACGAGAAGATAATCTCTAGACAACGAGAGTGTATTTTTTCATTGTAATTTTAAAAATCATAATCGTAATTTAAAATAATAATGAAGTAAAAAAAGAATAGAACTAAAACATAATGACTAAAACATAATGACTTTCTCAATATAGGACCATATATTTTTATTTCCCAATGTAGGACCATTGGTCATTATCTATTAGTCATTATTCAACTAAATGTCCAACATCACTTGGACATTATTCTTCTCACTAGTCATTATTAAGTCATATTTAGAGAATAAAAAAGTTTAAGTCCTATATTGGAAAATGACTTAAGATTTAGTCCTACTCAATGCAAATTTCACTATTTTAAACCACACATGCAATTCACTCTTTTTTAAACTTCCGGTTTGGTCAAACTAGGACAACTCTTTTTGGGACACGGGAGTAGTAAACATGATTTTTTTTGAATGAAGTACATAATTCTTCTTAATACACGTGGTAATAGACGATAATTCCATAAATGATTTTGCATTTGTCTGAAATCAATTGATCTATTTGTCTCCCAAATTTCCATATTGTCATTAACAACAAACTAGTTTCATTGTCTCTTTAGCAAAATAATGTCCTTGTAGTTGTAGTTCAATGTCCTCACACCGCCATTAATGATTTTGCATTTGTCTGAAGTCAATTAATCTATTTGTCTCCCAAGTTTCCATATTGTCCTTAACAACAAACTAATTTCATTGTCTCTTTAGCAAAATAATGTCCTTGTAGTTGTAGTTCAATGTCCTCACACCATTAATGATTTTGCATTTGTCTGAAGTCAATTAATCTATTTGTCTCCCAATTAAGTTTCCATATTGTCCTTAACAACAAACTAATTTCATTGTCTCTTTAGTTTGATTTCCTTAGCCCACAACATAATGTCCTTGTAGTTGTAGTTCAATGTCCTCACACCACAATGTATTTAAAATTGCTTTGCGATTTTGTTTATTATGGAGTATGTATTCTTTCGTACGGGGTATCTCTTAGGGAAATAGTTAGTACATTTATTTTAGTAAATTTACACTCAATAGGTCATTATGTAGGACATTCTGAAGATATTTTAACGTAACATACTGTCTAGATATTTTAACGTAGCATACTGTCTAGATACATAATGACCTTAACCTTACTTTCTTTAGTTCCCAATGGTTATACTTTTAGCATATTAATGTACTATATATGACAACCACTCTCTTTATATGCAATGTCATTTCAGATTATTTACTCCAAAAAGTTTTCATTGTGTTCTTTTACAGCATAATGTCCTTAATTTAAGCAGTGATATTTCAATGTCTTTCCACAATTGTTCATACACAAAATGATCGAAATTAGGCAATTTGGGTGCCTTTTTCTATGTTTTAAAGCCTACACAATAAATTTATGTTTCTTTTAATGTCGTAATGACTATCTTTTAACATTTATTTCCCCTTTTATTGGTTTTAACACCATGGATGAATTTAACAATGTGCAGTGAAACAATCAAGGACTTCCCACCATGCATGTTACATAATGATTTTGAAACAATCAAGGTATTAAAAAAATTTACAGTGAAATGATGAAAATCCTCAAATTAGATGTTTTAATGTCTATAGAAGATCCCTACACAATAAATCCATCAACTTTTTCATAGGCAAATTCACAAACACGTTGGATGCATGCTCGAATTCTACAAAACAATTCACCGTGGCTTCTCTTCTCTCCCTCTGAACAATTGAATAAAATAATACATTAGGGTTCGTTTGGTACACGGAATTGATGGAATTGGAATTGAAATTCCATGGGATTCAATTCCATAGAATTTAATTTACCAATTCCAATTCATTTTTTGCACTACCAATTCCAAATCCACATAATTTTTGTGCTACCAAACACGAGAATTAGAATTGAAGTTCTCAATTCCAATTCCATAGTTTGAATTCCGTGTACCAAACGGGGCCTTAAGGTACTTACACACCCTGAATTAAGCTTCACCAACATCTTTTTCTACACCCTAAATTTACAACGGCTTTTCAATGAAGTTGTTGCCACCGTTGTCTTCGAATTTGCTTGCCGCATTGACTTCTCTGTGTTCCGCCACTATGGTAAAAAGATGGAATCGTGGAATAATGGAATTGCAAAACCCAAGAAGTTTTCTGGTTCTACATGGTAACCGTTAGTGATGCGGGTAAATAGGGGTTTGATAAAAAGTACTGATTTTTTTTTAATTTAATGAAATAAAATGGATCATGGATTCGCAGATTGCAGTTGCTGTAACACATGGTTAAATCGGACAATTCCCCCTTCAAACGTTAGTATCACTAAGACTAGTCCTACATAGGGAAAAGTGCTATGTTTCGGTCCTATTAGATTTTAACCCGTGCGTTGCACGGTAAAAGTATATAATTAAATAATGTTTCATATAATTACAATTATTTCTAATAAGACTCGCCACACATAATTTTCCCATATAACTATTTTATTTGATAAAAATTATATTAAATGAATTGAACAAAAGTTAGAAATTCTAAAAAACTTCGTTATACATGTCATTTGAAATGTGATTCAGAGGATTATTTTATTATCGCAACTCAAGATCTTCAATTCTAACTAATTTGTTGCACGGGAGACAACCTCTTAAATTAACCACAACTAAACACTGAGATTTTAATAATAACTTGACATTTAATAGAGATTGACCCATACGATGCATGAAAATTAATTTGCTTCAAAATATAAAGAATAAATACTTCATAGCAAAAGTGTACATAAACCTTTTAAAAAAATTATTATTACTGTACATAATAAATAAACGTACAAATCAAGACAATATAATTAAAAGCCAATTGAATAAATTGGGGGAAGAGTGGGGTAGGAGAAAACTTTATAAAGAAAAGGACATGTAAACTTAAGACCCTTAACTACAATTATAAAATTGAGTGAAAGGAGACTCCAAAGCTAGCTATTTGGGCAAAGTGTCTCTGCAGTAACTGGACTCCTCTCACTTTGCTCATTTTCAAATGTTTGAAAGCCTGCAAGATGTTAATAAAGAATTCAAGAGAAGATATAGAAGATATCTGAATTCAAAATCACCATTCTTTTTTTAAAAGTACAAATTTAAATAAAGAATTCAAGAGAAGAAAAAAGCTCCACCTTAAAATGGTGGCGTCCTTAAATCAGCTTGACGTCCTTGACCTATATCAAGAATCCAAAGCAGGTAACATTAAAGAGGAAGATGTCTTGATAAGGCAAGACTCCATTCAAAGTAGAGTCTTGCCTTATCAAACACACAAAAGGATCTTCCCAAATTGGAATATTTGAATGGAGAATTGAAGGAGAGCTTGAGTTACAGAGGAACTGATGAATTTTCCGATCTAAGATCTCTACCCTGTCTCTCTCTTCATCCTCTGTACAACCGCCATCTTTAACTAATTGGCTCAATCGTGGGAGGTTGAGGATTTACAGTTTTACTTAAAAAAATTAAAAGGAAAAGTAGAATATCCACTACTCCGTAGAAGGCACTTGGCCCATATTTTTATCGGCCCAAACATGCACAGTAACCGTCCGGAAATTTGAGCGGGATTTTTTTCCTGCTGCTTTTGTAAAGAGTAAGATAGTAAAGAAGTGTTTTTTAAAAAGTAAAGAAGTGTTTAAAATAGATGAAAATGACATACACTAAACAGATAAAGACCATGACGGGCTGCGATAGTTTTCTGTTCAGCCTAACTTGTTGGAACAGACTCACTAAAACATTTCATCAAACACATGGTGACAACTCTTTACCCGTGCAAATCTACAAACTTAAAAGGGACGGGACCTGCCTGTACCTTGAAGAACATTTACAGAAGGTGGACAACAACAAAATACAACTAAAATGAAGTAGAAAAAAAGTTGAAAACACGCTATAGCCTGGACCTATGTGCGAATAACTTCTGCAATACTGGGGTGAGAATTTATCTTCCAACTCTACAAATTGAGTCATGAAATTTTAGAAGATACCTGGGATTCTGGGAAGATGATCAAAAGCACAAATCGACCCAGCACTATCGTTGCCTGAAACCATGGCCATTCGTCCTACCCCCTGTCGACGAACGCCGCCTCCATGAAAATAAAAAAACTGTAAATACTACTATAGGTGTAAAGAAATTAAAATAGAAATAAAAAAGGGTGAAACCTTCTTCCTGAATCAGTGAATGTATCCCTTTCTTTTTCTTATCGTTCTTCGATTGGGTACCGATTCATATGTAAAATGACATAGAATAGATCCACGGGCTTCCACAAACGAACTGACAACCTTCTAGCGCTCAATGGTAGCCAAATTATGCACTATAGTAGGTGACGATGGAGAAGGAAGGCGCTATGGAGGATGTGCAAAAGTGAGCAGTTGATTAACGCGTTGTAGTTGAGCAGGCATGTTGCTGTCTATTTTTTTATTGTTCACGCGTAAAAATTTGCTGCTGTTGTAAATAGGAAGATTTAAGTAATTTACTCTTTCTAAAATTATAGCTAAAATATACACAAAGAGTACACACAACAAATCCAAAAAGAAATATGCAACGAAAACATGAATAAAAGTTTATTAGAAAATCATGGAAATCCAACGAGATTGCATTGTATGCACGCAACACACACAAAAATTTCAATGAAAATTTGCAGCCCCAACAAATATAAACATTGATCTAATCAAGAGTCATTGAAGGAATTTGCTGAATAAATGAAACCAAAAACATGCAAATGAATTGAAANGGAAGGGGCTTGACGGCGATTGCGGCCGCGGCGGTGCAATGGTGAAAAGGAGGAGAGAGAAATGATGTGGGACGGCTGTGTTGTTTTACCGATCATTCGGGAAGTGGAGCGGACACTATAAAATTACGGAGTAAATTGGATTATAATAATTACTCCTATTTCAGGTATATAAGTTTGGGACTCTTATTTTGGGTATATGTCTCATGAATTACTCCTATTTAGAAAGTTTTCTTAAAAATTAAATTTTCTTGTTACTATTTGTTTTGTTAAATTTTTAATATAGTTTTTAAATATGTAAATGTTAATTTCATTTCTATACCAATATTTCAATAAACTAGATTGAAAAAATTTGAGATTTTTTCTTCATTTTTCACAACGCGAAGAAAGATATGAAACAGAGGAAGTATTACATTGGGATTCCAATTCTGTGTACTAATACCAAACTATGTACATATTTACTCCCTCCATCCTAAAATGTTGTTTCCATCAAATTCTACTTTTATGCATCACATCCAAAGGCATTTTTTAAACTCAAAACCAAAATACACTCTCCTTAAATTTCTTAAAAATTAAAATCTCCCATGATTTTCATGGATGGAGGGAGTATTATTATTATATTTTAAAATATTTTATTTACTTTTTTAAATTGTAATGTGTTCATAATTTTTTTATACATAATTTCAAACCTAACAAATAATATTTGGAGAAGTCCCTATATAGAAGTAAAAAATATGAAAATACCAAAATAGGACCGCCACGCTAGCATTGTTATACTGTCACACTCACCACATTGTCACACTCTAACTGTCACAATATCACCACCACAATGTTGTCTATCACTGCCGGCCATTAGAGTGGCACCACAGATCACGGACCGTTGACTGATCCCACTGATATACTACACTGTCATCATTTTTCCATCATACTGTCAACGCGTACTCTTGCACTACACTGTCATTATATTCCTATTTTGGTTTTAGAAGACTTAAGACTCCTATTTTTGTACTTCCATACTTTTTTACTCCTATTCGGGGAGATTTCATGATCATGTTTCTTTGGTTATATTTTCACGGGATGTGCTCAACGAAATCAATATTAAATGTATTATTCTGAGTTTATGACATACTTTTATTTTATTTTTTTTACTTAACTTTTCACTCTTGGGGCAGTCAAGTTACTAAGTTTTGTAACTTGGCTACTCCAAGACTTCAACCACTTGGACTCCTTTGTAAGACTTTACATCGCTCGGACTCCTCATCCAAGACTTCAACTACTAAGATTCCGGGTTCTTTGCAAACTCAAAACTCAATGAGAAGATTTGGTCTTCACAAACCCCTCTTTTACAATATGAACTCTGTAGGAAAAGTAGATAAAGAAATACAATGAAAGGTCTATGAATAACAAAAACATTTCTCTTAATTGGCTCAACAAAATCTTTAAATATGATGCACAAATAATATGAATATAATGATAAAGAATGTGAGGTTTTTTTCACTCAAAAACAAGGCCAAAGGCATCCATTTATAAGGACTAAAGAGTGTAACAGTTGCTAATCAATCTAAAAGAGACAAGCCAACAAAAATTTCCTATCTTTCCCATTGTGTTTGCCATAAACTGTAGTAGTTCTTGTGATTTCCAAATTAACACGATCCTGTAAGTCACCACTAAGAGATTGATCATTGTCTTTATGGCTCAACAAATGAAAGGATTGCTCTGTCCAAAAGATCCCTATTTTATTGCTGTTGGAAGCTAAGTACTTATCCATTTCTATTTTTCTACATAATCAATGATCTGAGAGGAAGAAACAATAGGTTCCATGATTGCAATAAACTTTAAAGAATGAATTTTTCAAGCACTTTGATCCTTTTGAGAGAGGATCTAACTCCACAGACATTCCAAAATAACAAATTCATTGATGTTTGGAGATATCAAATTCCTTATGTCCCTTCATGCTTCTGGTAACCATACTCATAAGGGGACCATCTTTAGCCACTCTTCTTTTCCTAGGTATGTTCATAGAGGTAGCATATGATGAGGGGGTTTTAACCTGAATTGGTTTGAAAGCAAATATGTCAGTGATTTCATCTAAAGACCATCATCAGAGGGACTTCCAAAGTTCCATTCTGAATTATCTTTCCCATTGTGCTGAGGAGTGTGTTATTCTTCAATTAACATGGCTAATCCTTTTTCATGGGTGTGTGGAAATATGCAATCATCCAAGGACTTTTTCAAATACCTAGTTATTCCTTTCCTAGTTGAGTTGTAGCACCTAACTTGTTGATTTGCTTTTGTTATGTCAGCATATGCTTTGGCTTCAGATAGAGATGGGAAATAATTTAATTAGCCCAGGACCCCTCTTTTACAATATGAACTCTGTAGGAAAAGTAGATAAAGAAATACAATGAAAGGTCTATGAATAACAAAAACATTTCTTGTCATAATTAGCCCAGGTGCCTTTGGAGTTCATACCTAGTTATTCCTTTCCTCGTCATAATTAGCCCAGGACCCGGAAAAGCTTTAGCAAACGCTAGCTTGTCTAAAAGTTCATCAATAAAGAAAGAAGAAATGAAAAGTTTCCTCTGACTAGAAGCCATATCATGAAGTTCTGTCTCACCGCATCATCTAGAAATTTGATTAGGTTATTAAAATAGCTGTCAATGTTCAAGATACCAATGTGTGCAACCCTTCGGATGCCCATGAGATCAAAGTGAACAAACCTTCCATAGTGTCAATCCCTCCAGGAAGTACGATGAAGGCTTCCACAACATGATTCATCTCGAAGTACTTATAGTAGTTGCTGGAAACTGTGAATTCTGCACCATACGTAGGTCCGTACACGGTACACCTATCGTGCCGCTATGTACCCTGGAATGAAACCTCTAACTATACCACCATTGGTATAGACCGTTGATGCAACAACTCATTGAAGGCCAACGTTGCCTCCTCCATAGGTAAGCCCTATTTTTCTCCTTACCAATTCCCTTCCTAAATCTATCGCCGTAGTCATGAACTTTGGATTTCTACCAAGAACATGACTACCAAGTAGACCAACAAATTTTATGGTGTGAGGAAAAGTTCGGGAAGTTCCTTCCATAATGTGAGAATGTGAGATACTCTTACCACAATCATGATATATATAGGCTCTGAAACCTGACCTTTGAGAAAAAGGGTAGTTATCATCAGTCGAATTTTGAACAGCAAAGATGGATTCAATTTACCTATTGACAATGACATACTCGCCAATACTACAGTCTACTGACGATCTGACATATTGAGACTCATGAACAATTGGATTCGCTGTCCTAAAATACATTCAAATCAGAAATGAAAAGTCAATATGGCTATTGCCCTAATACAACGACCCCTTGAGTAACCTGAAAAAAAAAATTATGTTACAACGTATGAATTGAAACAACCTTCAAATTTCCAAAAACCTTCTAAAGGTATTGAAGAAAGTTTGAATCGATTCTGTTAACCAATGACGTACAAACGAGACTCGTGACCGAACGAAGTTATGTAGAAATATGTCAAGTATGCAATACTATACACTATGAAGGAACTTTAGTCATCAATACCAAAAGATCAGTGAATGCTTTGCTTAATCGGAGTTTGTTAAATTCTCGAATGTTGAACGAGTTTAGTGATATCAACGGTTGAGAATGCGTATCTGTAAGATAACAATGTAACCATGTGAACGAGACGCAGTCATGATGACAATTATGGACTTTAGACGAATTTTGAGGACGAAATTCCTTTAAGGGGGGAGAAATGTAACTTCCCAAAACATACCCTAGAATTATTAATAAATAATTATTCGATTAAACAAATTTTTTTTTATTAAAATAAATTGTTGTTGGGCTTTGGGCCGATACGAAATATGTTTTGATATCCATTATCACAATCTGGATAAATCTCATAGAGATAAATCCAATATGTTGACTTTTTGTGTGGTATTGATTGGGAACCTGAGTACAGACTCATATCAAGAATAAATGAAGAAATTATTTATGATGTGAATTTTAAAATGATTTATTGAAATAAATCATGAGAACAAATGATATGAATTAAATGTGAGAACCTTTAATGATAAAAGTCAAGTAAACCAATTTTGACTCTGTCAAAGTCAAACACCCAAAAATATGATGTTGGGAAAAGAAATACAAATAAATATAAAAAGTATATCGTTAAATAGAGTTTGACTGTCTGATCGCAACGGTGCAAACGGAATTCAATTCGGAGAAAGTTGGACCAGAAAGTGTACCCCAACTGGAATCAAAATTGGTCCCAATCAGGGACACTGTGCGAACGGCGCCTCCTCACCCACTCACCTATTACGAATTAATTTCTTACGCAGAAGCAGCTCAGCATCGTCCTCTTCCCCTCATCAACCCATATTTAAGAGAGAACTCATTTTCCCCATTACTACACCATTCTTCTGCAAATTAGTTCATTAGAATCCTGAGAGTGAGGAGAGTGAATTGTTGTTGTTGGTTGCCGCCGAAGTCGCCGGAGTTGGAAGTAATCGTCGCCGGAAGTTTCGT